ACATCAAAACACTAGAAAATCCTTATTAAAAGGAAGTTTGCTCAATTCTTAACATCATCAAAACCTCTTAAAGTCTACAGGTGCCATTTATGCTTTTTTTGTTGGGCACATTAATGACATGCCTTCATGTTAGAGGGGTGACCACCTTAGTCAAGGCTATACAACCAAATTGGAATCCTACTGCCATAAAATCTACTCAAAGTATACTTTTAAATATGCTACATGATTAATATATAAAGTTTAAGTCTGTTAATGTTATTGAGCAATCAAAATTCAAGGTTGTTGTGCTAGCTTATTGATATAATCATGCTTTGATTGTTCATATATTTTATATAGATTAGTTTATTTACTTTTAAGATATTTTGATTTACTTTTGGATAAGTTTTCTTTACTACTAATGTTGTATATACTAGATCAAGTCCTTATGTTGCCTTACTTTGCATGACTCATTTTCAAAATTTTTTTATTATTTACTTTTTATATACTTTGGTTTACTTTTGAGTAATTTTCTTATACTTCAAATGTTTATTATATTGGAATTAGTCTACTAGCTCAACAGATAGAGCATTGTGCAAATGCACAAAGATGTGGGTTCAAATCCCACGTAGGCACTTTACTTTCATAGTACGTCGAACTCAATATATATGTTTCTCATAATTTGACTCATCTTGTAAGGATATGAAAGTCAAAGACTCGGAGTTTTTGTGGTATAACAAAATTTTCTTAGTAATTTATCATTCCAAGATAATTTATTATTCGTGTATTTTAGACCTAATTTGATTTACTTCAATGATATTTTTATTTACTTATTAACATTATTTATTTACTTTAGAGTCATTGTGATTTAGTTTTGACATATTATGCTCTAATTTTGATTTCTTTTTGGAGTTATTTTGATTTACTTTAGAGATATATTCATTTACATTTCAAGTTTTTCTACTTACTTTTGAAAGATTTTGATTTACTTTTGAGGTATTTTGAATAACTTCAGAGTATTTTATATTTACTTTTAGAGATAACCTATGTAGGAATCGAACCTACATCTCTTTGCATCTGCATAGTGCTCTACCATTTGAGCTAATAGGTTTACTTTATAGCTTGTTTTATTAACTTTATGAACTTTTTTAATTACTTTTAGAGACATTTGATTTATTTATCCCCACCCATATTATTTTTATTCTACTTCACCTCATCTTCACAATTAGTAACAATGTAGCATAAGAATTAGGATGAATCAAACATCTTTCATCAAATGAAGAGTCAAGAGTAAGTTTGGAGGCTGAAATTCGCAGCAGCTAGGGGTGAAACAAATTTGGTTTAAAATCAAACCGAACCGAAAACCGGACCGAATTAGGAATATGGTTCGGTTTTTTTCTTAAGTGGTTCGGTTTCGGTTTGTAAAATCAAGAAACCGAAATTGTATGGTTCGGTTTCGGTTTCGGGAAATGAAAACCGAAACCGAACCGAATTTCGGCCCATACTATATAAGGCAAAAAAAAAAAAAACCCTAATCACTCTTCTCAGCCTCTCACTCTCTCCTCTTCTCTTTCCGCCCTTTCTCTCTCCTCTAATCCTCTTCTCTTTTCTCCATTTGTGAGCTTTCTCCCTCTCGATTCTCTCTTTCTCCTTTCCTCTTCTTATCTTCTCCAATCTCTAGTTCTCTACTCTGTCCTTTCTCTCTCCTCTTCGATCTCTTCTCCACTTTCACTCTCTTCTCCTCTTTGACAGTACGACCAAGGAGGCAAGGACGACCACCTGGGCACCAGTGTTCACATTCTAAAGGTTTTCATGTCAAATTCGACCATGAAAACACTAGATCTAGTGTTTTCATGGTCGAATTTGACCTTTAAAACCCAAATTCGAGGTTTTTCGGTGGAATGTGAGGTATGTCCTCTTTTTCTTTCTTTTAATTTGGTTTGAGTTTTTTATTTTTATGGTGGTGTATGATTGAATTGTGGTGGTGGTAGGTAGTTTTGGGTGGGTTTCGGGTGGTCAGGATGGATGGTGGGTTTCTTCAGTTTTTGGTGGGTGGAGGGGTGGTTTTTGATGGATTCGGGTTGATGCATGATGAGTGGGTTTCGGGTCGTTGGTGATGGGTTAGGGTGGATGGCGGGTGGGTTTCGGGTGGTTTTGGGGGATGGGTGGTGAGTTTCGGTGGTTTTGGTAGGTTAGGGTGGGTGGTGGGTGGGTTTTAGGTGGTCAGGGTGATGGGTGGTGGGTGGGTGTTGGTGGTGATAAGGTGGGATGGTAATAATTAATACCCTGGATTGGTTTGGTTTTGTTTGGTTCGGTTCGGTTTTTTTTGCAAAATTTGATGTTCATGATGCTTGATAGGAAAATTCGGTGCGGTTTGGTTTTTTTTTTAAGAAAACCGAAATTTAGGTGGTTTGGTTCGGTTCGGTTTCAAAGAGAAAGTGGTGCGGTGTGGTTTGCAAAATCAAGAAACCGAAATATGGTGGTTCGGTTCGGTTTGGGCCAAAAACCAAACCGAAAACCGAACTTTCACCCATAGCAGCAGCTAGTAGCATGGTTCGGGCTCCTTGTTGCTCATAGTTTGGGTATGCACGAAATAGGTTGGGAGAAGATGTATTTCTTTGATTAAGTTTTTTCTTATTTATTTTTGAGTATATTTTATTTACTTTTGTGATTACTTTGTATAAAATGGATCAATAGTGCTAACTAACTATTCTTATTCTAAAATAGCCTACTAGCTCAATAGGTAGAGCATTGTGCAAGTGCACAAAAGATGTGGGTTTAAATCCCACGTAGGTTATATGTGTAAAATCTGAATATTAGAATTTGTAATGTTTTATAGATTTCTTCTTATTTTGCTTATTTTTGATATAGTTTTATTTACTATTAATTTGAAAAACTCTACATCATATCAAACTAAATATATTTTTTTCTTATGACTTAACTCATCTTATAAACATATGAAAGTCAGTAACTCGTAGTGTTTTTGCTATAAAAAATCCTGAGTCATTTATAATTTCAAGATAATTTATTATTCATATACAATGATGATTTGATTAAATTCAATGAGACTTTGATTTACGTTTTAGCATTTTTTATTGACTTTAGAGTAATTATGATTTACTTTTGATATATATTAATATACTTTTTTAGTTTTTCTACTTTTGAGATATATTTATTTACTTTTGAAATATTTTAAATAACTTTAAAGTGTTTTTTAATTACTTATTAAGATAATCTATGTAGGAATCGAACCTACACCACTATGCATCTGCATAGTGCTCTGCTCTACCACTTGAGCTAATAGGTTTACTTTAAAGTCTTTTTTTATTCACTTAAGAGTCGTTTTTATATTTACTTTTTATTCTTGCTTCTCTAACAAAATTAACTCTCATCTCAACAACTTATTTCTAATAAATTAGCTAACAATCAACTAAAATGCTAATCATTTCTCAATACAATGCTGGAATATGCTAATGAGAATGAGTTTTATATATACTTTTAGAGATATATAACCTATGTAGGATTCGAACCTACACTTCTATGCATCAACATAGTGCTCTATTACTTGAGCTAATAGGTTTACTTCAAAGTCTTTTTTATTTACTTTAGATTCTTTTTATTTTATTTTAGAGACTACTTAGAATTACGACCATTCTATGAAATTTGACAATTGCTAATAGTCTGCAAAATAGGTTTAAGGAAAAACTATGATTCAAATTCACAATAAAAATGTTACTCATACTAAACAATAGTAGTATACACTAACACAGATATTAAAGACGGTATAGTGAAGGATAGCCAATATGCTATCCATGAAGAGATTAGAGATAAGCTTGTCAGTGAGTGACTCTGATTAAGGATTGCATGCATTTTAATCAGATTAATATGAGGTTTTACCTACCTAGGCAGAAGCAGATTTTGCATCACTTCTCTTCACCTTGGTAGAGACTCTGGCAGCATATGCTTTATAGTCATACACATACCTGGTGAAACCTGCAGCTAGCATTATAGGATCTTGTGTTGACCTCATAAAAAATAGTTTCTTGCACAAGTCTGATATGGCCCAATCCAAGAATCTATAGGTTGTAGAATTTATGGATTAACTGCAATATTAATATTACAAATGTAAAAGGATCTTTTCATCTCTTCAATGGAGAATTCAGATGCAGTCGTTGCAAGGGAGGAAAGAGAAAAGGGTTGGAGGAGAGAAAAAGGAGAGAAAGTGAGCTAGATCTAAGGTTTGATTTTATTTGAGTCGCTCTCCAAGCGTGCATCTGAGGTAGATCCAACGGCCCTAATTAGTTCTCAGTTCCTATTATTCACTTAGTTCTATATATACATATATGTATGTATGTATATATATATATATATATATATATATATATATATATGCTACACAAACCGCAAAGAAGAGAAAGTCGGCCACCGACTGGGCTGCTGGCGCTGCTGCATCAGTCGGTTGTGGTGGTGGTGGCGCTAGTTGTGTTAGCCAGCGTGAGGGAGGAAGAAGGGGGAGATAGTGGCATGGGAAAAATAGGGGAAATAGAAGAAGAAGAAAAATAGAAGAATGACAAGGAAAAAAGGAGAGAGAAAATAAAGCGAGAACTGTAGACACCTACTTTTGGGCTCTTGTCCTGAAAGGAAGTGCGATGATGTTACAAAAACCCGTTCATCATGCTCGATCAAAGTTTAATTTTTTATGGATTACGAAATGCATTATGAAGTTAGTTAAAACTCATATTGGAGAAGTTATCTTAGATCCGTGTTCGATTACTAATTAGGCCTAAAACGTGCTCATACATGTTTAGACTTAATTAATAACGCACCCAAATGCGGAAAATGCAATGATTCGATCCAATGGATCTTACATTGTTGAAAATTGAGAAAACAGATAAACCAACCATCATATCTCCATGCATGACCTATACAAATGGATATCCCTTTGAAAGAGCTTTCAGACGGTATATTATAAGCCCAATTTTGCATAAAACAAAGAAGTTATGATCAAAACACTAAACCGGGCTATGGGGTGTGTCTCTACTGTTTCTTATTTTGTCTTGGTCAATGGATTTCCCTCTACCCCTTTGGCTGCAAAAAAGGGTTTGAGACAGGGGGATCCTATGTCCCCTTTTCTCTTTTCTATCTGTATGGAATACCTTTCAAAGTGTTTAAAGGAGATGATTGAGAATCTTGACTTCAATTTTCATCCAAGATGTTCAAAGTTAGGTATTACTCATATGATGTTTGCTGATGATTTACTACTTTTCTCCAGAGCTGATCTTGTCTCTATCTAGCTGGTTTTTGAAGATTTTCAGAAGTTCTCTTGTGCTTTTGGTTTAGCTGCCAATTTGGATAAGAGTGATGTATATTTTGGAGAGATAAGTGAACAAGTTCAAGATGATCTTCAGTCTATGCTGGGAGTTGCTAAAGGGTTTTTTCCTTTTAGATACTTGGGTGTGCCCCTGTCTTCTAAAAAGCTTACTATTTCTCTATGTAGGCCATTCATAGAGAGAGTAACTGCTAGGATTGAGGGTTGGGCTACTAGGCATCTTTCTTGTGCAGGCATGCTTCAGATGGTCAAAAGTGTGCTTTTTGGTATCTAGGCTTACTGGTCTCAAATTTTTATTTTGCGTAAGAAGATTTTGAGAGAAATGGATTCAAGATTTAGGTTCTTCCTCTGGACTGGTAAAGGTAATCCTAGTAAGAAAGCCCTGGTCTCTTGGAAGTATTTGTGTCTACCTAAGACTTGTGGTGACTGGAATTTGACCTCTCTTGATGATTGGAATAAGGTTGCAGTTACTAAAGTTCTATTGGACATTGCTCATAAGTCTGATAACTTGTTGGTTAAATGGGTTCACATTTACTATTTCAAGAATAGAGATTTTTGGTCTGCTCTTATACCTAAGAAATGATCTTGGGTTTTGAAGAAGATTATGAACAACAGAGGTTTGGTTAAAAGTGTTGGAGGATGGTCAGGAATTACAGTTAATGGTAAAATGAGTATTAGAAATCTCTATACTCAAATCATACCTCAAGCTGAGAAAGTAGCTTGGAAGAGAATAGTCTATAATAGTAGGGGTTCACCTAAAAGCTTATTTATCACTTGGTTGGCTCTGTGGAATAGGCTAGTTACCAAAAATAGGCTTATAACTTGGAATATCCCTTGTTATCCCTTGTGTTTTTTCTGTTCTAATGCTGCATAGAATGTTTTTCATTTGAATTTTGACTGTTCATATTATGATAGTATTTGGAATAGAATTTTACAGCTTCTATGTTATGCTAGAGTTAGGCAGAGGTTTATTTCTTAAGTGCAATGGGTGCTATAGCAAAGTAGAAGAGTTAAAACTAAAGGAAGACTGATGCTTATGTGTTTTGCATAGACTATTCACTGCATCTGGATTCAAAGGAATAATCTGAGGTTCACTGGAGATTAAAAGCCGGCTGATATAGCTTTTAGAGATATTATTATTTCTGTTGCTTGTAGGTGTCTTGAATCTGATAGGAAATGTTTGTATATCTAGATTTGATGTCTTTGTTATATTGGTTTTATTTTGCTAGCAGTTTACAGGGTTGCCTGTTCTACTGGTGTACTTACAGGATTGTCTGTCCTGCTGCTCTTTGCTTTAGGTGTCTGTCTGGTCCTGGCTTCCAGAACCTTTCCTAGAAGGTGGCTGGAAGCTTAAGTCCAATAGTTGTTCCTGGTTCCTCCTAGAACCCTTCCTAGAAGGTGGCTAGGACATAATCCAGAACTGTTTTGGGGTGGTTTGGCCTGTTTTCAGGTCATGTGATGTTTGTTGTTTGTTATAACTTGGCTTTTGTCAGTTGTAATTTTTTCTCTTTGGTAATAAAATTCCATTTTTACAAAAAAGGATTTTGAAAAATAAAAAAAGAAAAGCAAAAAAGGTGGAAAAAAGATTCACAAGGTAATGACAAGTGTCATAGGAGGATTTTCTTTTAGTATAGGTTAATAGATATTTTTTAATGTTGTCTTTAAGGAAAAAAGATCCGCACAAGAGTTTCAAGACCAAACTAAGGTGTTTTATTTATAATATATCATAGATTAGCAAAAAATACAATTCAAATTAATCATACCAATCAAAACTACTCATTATAAAACAATCAATATATACACACACACGCATAAATATATAAATAAAACACCTTAGTTTGAACAATCATATCATCTTTAATTTAAATATCCCTCTATCTGGTAAGGCGATCCAAGCATGTTTAATTAGTCTTCTCACTCATCAAAATCATTCAAATTCTCCCTCTCTTAGGTAAGGCTATCCTGATATGTTTGATGAGTACTTAATAATATTGGGTAAAATTGTTACTCCACAAAAATACGATCTAATTATTGAACCACTACAAAGTAATTGCATTTGAAAGAGTATATAGTATATATTATTCTTAAGCGTAAACCATCATCTTAAACTTTTGATTGAGATATTCCACTAACAGTCATGAGACTTCCTTACAGTTTTTTACAACTTAAAAAAATGGTAAAGAAAATTTAAATCTTAACTCTTTCATAATTATGATATTTTAGTTCTATTTTAGTAGTAATATATTGTTTCATTTAAGAGGGGAATAATATAGTTTTGTTGTATGTTTATGAAAAAGAGAACATAGTTTTGTTGTTTTGTAGTACGTAAGTTATTAATATCCCCCTTTTATGTGGTAATATGTGTCTTTCTGTTAGGATTTGCACCAAAGAGGACTACAAAAGCAACAAGAAGAGTTGGCGAGTTGTGGACTTGAATCAAGTGGTAAGAATTTAATTGATGCTACATTCCTACTTAAAGGATGTCTCGAGGTTCAGTTTGATCGCATGTAAAAACTCTTATTTGGAAACCCACCTACCATAATATAGTTTTTAAAACTCGAATCGAATATGAATTTAGTTGGAGCTAACTCTGGAACCCAATAGGCCAGCGTACATTAAAAATAGTTGGAGCTAACTCTGGAACCCAATAGGCCAGCGTACTTTAAAAATAGTGCAAGGCATAATACGTGCCATGTACAATGTATGTCTCATGTAGGACTTCCATAGTTCCATTATGCTTACATTCGTCAACTGCATAACTGCTAAAGTGACTTTTTCATGAAATTCATTCAATTAGATTTTTTAAAAAATGGAGCAATAAATAATATTAGGAAAATTTGTCAAGAAAAACCTTTTAAAGGGAATTTTTTGTCCAAAAAAACCTTTTAAATTTTTTTTGGCCAAACAAAACCTTTTAAATTTTTTTTTGTTCAAGACAACCAAAACCCACTTTCCGACGTTGACTCACCATTTTCCGGCGTTGACCACGTGTTTTACATATGTGCAACGCACATGACCCCTATTTTCCTAATTACACCCCACTTTGCCTAATTTCACACCCTTTTCCCTCCAATTAAACACTCTATCTCCTTCTCTCTCTCTCTCCTACTCTCTATAAATACTTCGAGGCCATTAATCTTCTCTGCCATGGCTGCGAAATCATCAATGGGTCCATATAGTCCTCTTCGCAACAGGAAAACCACAACCACACCTCATAACACCTCCTCGACCCATAATCGCTGCATAATTGAGAAAAATTAAAAAGGGGAAAAAAAACCCTAATTCTCAATCAAGACTCGAAAAAGTCAGAGTTACACAAATTAATCACTTACCGTTGTCAAAAATTGGTGATAGAGCCTGCTACTGCTTCGATTTTGCTGCACTCCAACAATGGCGTGAGAATTTAAGAGCACAGAGGAAAGAAGGAGATGAAATAGAATACAGAGAGTAGGAGAGAGAGTGTTTAATTGGAGGGAAAAGAGTGTGAAAGTAGGCAAAGTGGGGTGTAATTAGGAAAATAGGGGTCATGTGCGTGGCACATGTTGTAAAACACGTGGTCAACGCCGGAGAATGGTGAGTGAACGTCGGAAAGTGGGTTTTGGCTGTCTTGAACAAAAAAAAAATTTAAAAGATTTTCTTTGAAAATTTTAAAAGGTTTTTTTGGACAAAAAGGTCCCTTTAAAAGGGTTTTCTTGACAAATTTTTCATAATTTTAATATATAAAATAAAATTTATTAATACAGTCATATTTTGGCATTGGGTAGCTTGCGATGATGATAATAATAATAATAATAATAATAACAATAATAATAATAATAAAAATAGCAGACATTGTAAATTAAAAAATATAAAAGGATGACAAGAATAGATGAGTAATGTTAATGTTGTAAGGCATGCATACACACAACCATTGATCACTCAATTTTAAAACCAATTGCCAAATATAAGTTATGACAAGAATTAATTAAAGTATGCATAAACACAACCTTTGATACCTCAATTTTATAACCATTTGCCAAATATAAGTTATGACACGAATGAAAACGAAGGTAGTATAACGTAATAGAAATCCAATAATCCAATAATAAAAGGGTCAAATGAAAATTTTTCTCTCTCTAGTTTTTTTCTCTCTGCTAGGTTGATCATCAGAGATTTTCCTTCTCGCTTGGGCGAGGGGGCTCTGAGAGTCTCTTGGTCTTGAGATTAAACTCTGTCTCCTCAAATTGTTTTTAGTTTTTCTTTCTCTCTTTTGCAGGTATTGAAGCTCGCTCCAGTTTGCTACGTTCAATCCACCTTTCCCTCCTTGCTTCCTTTTGCTTCCTTTCCTTTCTACCATGGCTAGTCCCTCCTCTATGGATACTACCATGGAAGAAGCCATTTTGTTGGATCATAATGATGATCATGCTTTAAAAATTCCTTTTTCGAAAGTTGTTACTAAACCCATAGTGGACAATCCTCACAATGTCACTCCTTCCCATTACTCTCCTTCCCACAAGGCATCCCTTTCCCTTAGGGAAGTTGTTCAAGGATCATCCCAATGGTTTAAAGAGGCTAGAGAAATAGATGTTTCATCACTCCAATGGGAAGATGAAGATGCCACAACCCCTCCTGACTCAACAAATACTGTCTCATTTGCTAAAGAAACTCTAGAAAAACTTCGCCACCCTTGGAAATTAACATTGATGGGGAAATGTTTAGGCATCTCTGTTCGACCATCTTTTATCACCCAACGTGTTAGAGCTATGTGGAAATCTAAAGGTACTCTTGAAGTCATAGATCTTGGTAAAGATGTTTATCTTTTCCGATTTTCTATCATTGATGATTATGAACGAGCTCTTCTTGGAGGACCTTGGTTTATTCTAGATCATTATCTGATGATAACCAAGTGGAAACCTAACGTCCGACCCTCAACAAACCCGTTCAATCGAATGACTGTCTAGATTCGCTTTCTAGAATTACCGGTGGAATATTATGATAAATTAGCCCTATTCGAAATCGCTAAATTGGCTGGTAAGCCAATTAGGGTCGATTATGCAATTGATCGCCTCACAAGGGCCTGATATGCTAGGGTGTGTATCGATATTGATCTTACTAGTCCCTTAATTACCTCTGTTTGGGTTACTAATGGTTGGCAAAAAATTGAGTATGAAAATATTCATGATCTTTGCTTTGTTTGTGGGATTGTAGGCCACCAACAAGAAAAATGCAAAGAAAATTCCAAATTGGTTGACAAAGGCAAGCAACCCATTTCCCACGTTATTCATGAGCCCAACACTATTTCCACTTTGGATAAAAACCAACCATGCTTAGATAGTGGATTTCCACTTGTCAATCCATTACAACAAGCAGGCCCATCCCACATGGCCCAGGTGGCCACTATCTCTAATAACCCAACTCCACAACCTTCTGAACTTTATGGTCCTTGGATGATAGAATCCAACAGAAGACTTTCCCACAAAAAACCAATTAACAAAACTTCAACTCACCAGCTTCCAAAACCAATTAACAAAAAGAATAATTTACTCTCTAAAAACACCTTTAACCAAAAGTCTATCACTCCTGCTCCTTCCGAAGACAACCCCT